AATCTTTCTACTGCAACACTACCACCTCATCCGAATGAGCAACAATCTTCCGATGAGGAATGACAGGTCTACACTTCCAGGAGGAAGAAGAAGAATGAAGATTTACTTTAGCTAAGGAATCTAATGAATGATACTCTGGTACTTCGGGCAATGATACACACCTCACCACTCTGTTAGTTGGTTCCTTTCCGAGAACTAGAGACAGAGACAAAACTAAAGTGGGTCGACCTAGTTGATCTTATATGTACCATTCTTTTCTTTTTGTTTGTGTTGTACCGTATGAGTTGGGTGCCTATTTGGGTCCACTTATACAACCTATCTATTTCCTTTTCTCTTCAATAAATTTTCCTTAGGTTTTTTTAAATATATATATAATAATAATAATAATAATAATAATAATAATAATAATAATAATAATAATAATAATAATAATAATAATAATAATAATGGACTTGACATCTTAAACCAAAACTATATATTGAAACATAGAATAATTCCTTAAAAATTTGATCTACAATTAGGATCAACCTTCTCTCTATCTGAAATAATAGCATTAGAGGAATATCTGATGAGCTTAGGAGTTCCGCTAGAAAAAAAAATTTAAAAATAGAATTCAACTATAAATGAACTAAATTATTATGATACAATAATCATGAGATATTAAAATAATTCATAGGTGTTTTCTTTGCATTATCTGCATATCTTATAAAAAAATGTTCTTGAATAATCATTAGCATAAAAATACTTAAGAAATTTTGTTAAAGAAAATTTTAAAAGAGGCGTCATTGCTCAATCATAATGTGCACTTTACTAGTCAATGCTACAAATAATAACATTTAATACAAATCTTTTCATGATATTTATTTACATATTTCATTTGATTGTGTTACAATCCGAAACTCAAAACAGTGAAAAAAAACTACAAAGAAATTGCAATAGAGAGGTAGAAAAACTCAAACAAGTGTTGACTTTTATATGACCAATGAAGCAAAGAAGATACAACGTTGTTGTACTATTCGATAGGTAGATCGTCTCTCCAGAAATCTTAAACGTCGCTAGGACACTACAAGAAGAAAAGAAAAACTGTAGCCCCACAAGCACATGCTTATTAGCCCTAATATAACTCTCCCAATAAGTCTTCAAACTTTCCCTAAAAACTCCCCCAATTTCTTTTTGCGAAGGTGATGATAGACTTAGTGGGCCCCACCTGGGGGCTGGAATCTTTGGTGGTTGCACTATGGTTTTCCACCCCCTCCTGCTCCGCGAAGGCTGGGGTGGGCTGGTCGGCTGGTCTAGATCGGCTCTGCCTGGACTAGTTCTGGTACTCGCGTAACAATACTCCCCTCCCAAAGAAGCACGTGGCTTTCAAGGTGGAATGATGGAAACTGTTTTTGATTCACCTCATAAGGCTCCCATGTTGCTTCATATCCTGACAGACCTTTTCACTTAATTAGTACCTTTTTGCTCTCATCACTCCTTGGCGCACTCATTTGACCTTTAACAGTTCTAGAATCACCTTCAGGACCTCTGTCAGTGTCTGGGGTAATGAGGACGATGACATATGATCTTTGATAGCACGTTTCAACTATGAAACATGGAGGACTGGATGTCGTGCTGATGAGGCCACTGCCACAATGCATATTGTAATCTTATAGGGTCTAAAGTATCATGAAGAAAGTTTCTCACTCCTCCGCCTGGCCAATGTCTTCCGTCGACAGAGCCCTAGCTTCAAGTGAACCATGCCCACGAGTTTGAACTGTGTATCTCTTCTATGTCCGTCCTTAAGCTCTGCCAATATTTCGTCACTCTCCAAGTACTGATTGACATTGGATAGTAGTGTAGCGTTATGTCTATAATGTATTACGTGAGGTGGATCTTGAAAGGGGTGGTATATGCTCTCTTATGGTATGAAGTATTATACTAATTTTTGGCCCACACAATCCACTAGCACACACAATCCACCTGGCCCACAGCTTCAGCGTATCCGATACAAAACAATGCAGATTTGTCTCAACACTCCTGTTGACCCCGTCCGTCTAGCCATCGATTTAGGGATGATATGATGTATTTCATTTAAGGACTGCTCTTTATAACCTGAACATCTCCTTTCATAATTGTCTGAGGAACACCTTGTCGCTATTTGATATAATATATTCTAGCCCTCCGTGCAAATAGATCACTTCCCGTACGAACACCGTAGCAACTGAGACTGCAGTGCAGGGATGTCATAATGAAATGAAATGTGCTCACTTGCTAAGGCGATCCACCATCACCATGTCGCTATTTGATATAATAGCTTCTAGCACTCCGTGCAAATAGATCACTTCCCGTACGAACACCGTAGCAATTGAGACTGCAGTGCAGGGATGTCATAATGAAATGAAATGTGCACACTTGCTAAGGCGATCCACTATCACCAGGATCACCGCATACCTCTCTGATCGTGACAACCCCTTTATAAAACCCATCGCCATTACTTCTCAAATTATCTCTGATAAAGTTAAGGGCTGTAGTAACCCTCTTGGTGCCATAGTCAAATATTTGTGTTATTGACGCATATCGCACCGTTCTACTATGTTCTCTACATCTCTGCGTATCCTTACCCAATAAAGCTCCGTCGATAAACAATTGTAAGTCTTTTATGCCCCGCCTTATAAAGCTCTTCTAGTAGCTGGTCAATCTCAGGAATAGGAAATTTGTCAAAGTCCGTCTCCTTGTTCAAAGTCAGTTAATCCACAAAAATGCGCTAGGTACCATCTTTCTTCTTCACCAATAGGACTGGACTGGAAAAGTGGCTCACACTGGGTTTGATAATCCCAACATTGAGCATCTGTCATATCAACTTCTCTATCTTATCCTTCTGAATCTGGGGATACCAGCATGTCCTGACACTTATAGGGGGACGCCCTCTTTTATTGTAATGGAGTGCTCATGCTCTCTCTTGGGTGGTAACCTCTCAGCTACTGAAAGGTGTCAATAAAATACTGTAAAAGCTACTGAACCTGTCCGGGAAACTCTGCCGACTCGAGATCTCAGACCTCCTCAATGCTTTGCAACTCCACAAAATAGTCTACTCTCGCTGCCCATATTGACTTGATAATGATTTTGAGCGTGACCTTGGTTCTACATAAGCTAGCATTTCTTCCTAGCATCATCTTCCTACCCTCCACCTGGAGTTCCATCATCAGGGATTTCCAGTCCACCTTCCTCAAGTGTTTGCAGCTACTTCATCCCTAGAATCACATCAGTGTAAGTCCAAAGCGGGGAAATCCTCTACCACCTAAAGGCCATGCAGTGTAAGAATCAATCTATTGATTTCCCTGTCCCCTTCATGACACCAAAGCTCCCCGTATCTGCCAGTTCCAACCCTAGCTGATCCACAACCCGATTTGAGATGAAATTGTGGTTGCTCCACTATCCACCAACGCTACAACCGGCTACACTCCAATCCACCCCTCACCTTCATAGTATGATTTGGACTATCCCAACACTGAATTGAGGGACACCTCCACAACATCCAAGTACAAATGTTCCTCTTCCTCCACTGTGTCTTCCTCCAACTCCTCACTATTTGTCTCCTCATGAACTACAAGGATCTTTAGCGCACACTACTTGCAACGGTGTCCTATAACATATTTCTCGTCACATCAAAAACATAATCCCTTCACTCTTTTATCCCACACTGCTGCATCGATGAGACACTTAAAATTGCTCCTAGAATGGGTCCCCACATTCTTTTTCTTTGGTGTCTCTTTTTGAAATGATACCGTTTAGGTCCTCGTTGTCATTGCCATCGAGACACTCTTGTATAATCCCCCGCAGTGCTGCCTTTACTGGTTTTTTTCATCTTTTTCTAGTTTTCCATCATTTTGACAAGCTCATTATCCTTCTCAATCCTCGTGGTCTCAAAAGTCGAAGGGGCTGCTCGGATGTTAGGCTTCAGGCCCTCCAAGAATTTCCCCTCCAGTTCTGCTGTAGAAATACCTCTCTGCCGCCTTGATATGAGTTCAATTTCCTCCCTGTATTTTGTGGCCATTCCCTTCTATGTCAGAGCATAGAATTGCTTGTGTAGGTTTTCTTCCCGGATGACTCGAAAATCTTCTAAAAAACAATCCTTAAACTCTTCTCACAAATGTATCGGGTACCTTGCCTCTATCCACTGAAATTATGCTAGGTCTTCCCATTCAAACATAATCCTGCAGCCATAAACTTCTCTTCCTCAGTTAACCCATTTACAACAAAGTATTGCTCCACCCTATATACTCACTTATGTGCATTTTCCATTTTGAAGATTTGCTTTTTTAGTTTCCTTACCCTTGCATTGTCAACCCAACTTTCTCTACCCCTCACCGTTTCCCTCCCATGTGTCTAGGCTGAAACTTTCTCCTTCTGTTATAGCCATACCCCCATTTTGCATCTGTCCTTCCCTCGTCGTGCTCCTCGTTGCCCCTTCCAACCCCTTCTACAAATTTGGCTCATCCCCCTTCTCTCGAAGTCTTAGGGGGAAGCTTTTGGTGATAGATGCTTTCCTCTTTGTCATCCTCTCGTTTGATCTCCTTCCCTTTTGATCTAGACAATGATTCTTTGATTAACCCTTGTTTAGGGTTTGCAATTTGAACCATCAACAAGATCTTGAATTGATCTTGAATTGATCTCCAGGAGGCTCTTTATCATTTCCTTCATGCTCTTGAATTGATCTTCCATTCGATTCGCGATCATGGAATGAATAGAAAATTTTTGCCTCAGAAAGAAAAGTTTGCCTTTTAGTTCAATCCTCCAGGAAGTTTTTTTAAACCGCTGTTTTTTCTGTTTATGAAATTTTTATTTCTTACCTTTACTTTTAATTGATTTTACTTCTGCTGCTGTTAAATATATCGTCATCTCGGTTTTTCTTTTTTGTTTCTTAATTTGAAAATTCGTGAATGCAAGTTTGGAAATGCTTCGTTTTTCACGGTTACATTATAAGTGCTCTGAATTGAATGCCTACTATGCCATTTCAGGTTTCATTTAATGGCTCATTTGACCACATGAATATTGATGCTACGAGGTACTATCTGTTTGCGTTTTAAATTCCTCCATCTGAAACAGTAGGGATTTTTGTTTGCTGGAAGTTGAATAACTTCTGAAGCATCTACTCAATACATTGAAGTGTCCACAACTTGGAAATTATTGAGCCGTTATGCTCTGAAGTTTGGGGTACTAGCAACAAAAAAAGAAGTCTCTTTCAAATGTTGAAGACGACAAAAACAGTTGGAGGGTATGCCAAATTTTCTCTAAACAATGGTAGAGAATAAATTATTTGGTTGCTTTCAGATGTTGATGTGCGCTTGTGCAAGTGTATGGGAGTACTGACATACTTATCTGATAATATAGCCAAACAACCATAGCACGTTTATTATCAATATTTTTTTGTCAAAGGATAAATAGTAGTGATTTAATTGAAATGGTTGCTTTACTTTTGAATTTTTGGGATAGGAAGCTAAAAAAATCATTAATAATAATGTTGAACATGATTTAAATGAGAATTTCAGGTTGTATGTTTAAATTGGGAATGATAGAGTTATAAATGACTATTTGAAAGAGATTGTAGTAGACTGATTGGGAAATGAGATATTTTGCCTTAACGAGATGAGGCGTAAGCCTCAAGTCAGATAGATACGAAAGCCTCCAAAAAAAAAAAAAATCATTCAATTAAATTTGATTTATAAATATGATTTAAACCATCAATATATTGATTTAGTTAATTATCTTTTCATAATAAATGACAATCTTAAATGCTGATATAAAATTAAAGTTGAAATGAGACTCAAAGCATGCATTCATTAATTAATTGTACTACGATAATCAAATTTCTCAAGAATCTCATCTTCATTTTCATTATTTTTAAAAGAATCATTATACGTAAAAATTTATCAAAACAGCTGATTTTGTTTCATTGACATCTTTCAAATCTTCTTTAAATATTAGATTTATCTTTTTATCAACTTCAATTAAGATGAAATTCAATATAATTTAAAATAAATTAACCAATTAATAACACAATCAAATAATTATTCTTAAATGATCTTCTTAACTTTAGTTCACTATATATATTATATAATAATAATATAATATAATATGTATATGTATATGTGTATGTATGTATATATGTGTGTGTGTTACACATAGGTTGTATGAGTGGTCCTAAAAGAATGCACCGACCCACACGATACAACATACACAAAATCTCAAAAAAGAAAAGATACATATAAGATTCAAAAAACCAAAAACCATCAACGCGCGCAAAAGCTATGGACGACTCAGTTTAGTCTTGCCTCTGCCACGAGTTCTAGGAAGGGAGCCGACTAGCAAATTGGTGAGGTGCGTACCATTATCCGAAGTAACCAAAATATCATCCATCAGATTCCTAAGCTCAAGCAGGTCTCCGTTCTTCTTCTTTCTTCTGGATGTGTAAACCTGTCATTCCTCATCCGAGGATTGACTCATCTAATCGGTGGATTGGTCTAAAGGTGGCCGGACAAGTGTAGGCTGTTGCACATCATGAACCTCATGACCCATGTGCCTGAGTAACATTTACATCTTGCTCGACCTGATAAGGTGGTAGAGAAGCAGTAGCAATATTGCCACCCGTAACATCAGTGATAGTTCTAGGGCAGGTGAAGCCTGGAATGTTTCCCTCACCCCCACGAAGAGAGGTTTCAAAGATGAGGAAACTACAACATTGTGTGGTGGCTGAATGGTTGACATATGGATAGTGACATCTTCAGGAGTATCCTTTTGATGATCAATACTGTCGATAACTTGGAGCATATCAGGAGGAGGGGGAATCACTGTCTCTCGCAGAGCACTATACTTTTTTGGTCAGAGGTGGAGGTGTAGATGATGACATTGAGAACTAGAGTGGTCAAACATACGAAAGTTCGAACAATACGAAGGGAAATGGTCAATCACAACTTTTTGCCAATAACTATGGTGCTGTGTGCTAACCAAATTTCTTCAGAAGCGAAAGAAGTGATGTCTCTTTTAACGAGTATTCTGGCTTCATATGGACGAGAAAAATTAAAAGTAGGAATGTCCGTTTTGAGTGGCTTACCATAAGATGAGGCAATAAAGTACAATACTTTTTGAGTAAAACAGTGAAATTTTAGGGCAGAGAGGCGAATACAGTCTGGAATGATTGGTGGTTCCGTTTGTGGGTCGAAATCCACTGACCATTTCAAAATCTTCATTGCTCTGTTATCAATCCAGATTATTCTTCTAGCAAATAATTGCGTGTAATTATCTTCTTTATTAAGTTGAATAAGAGTGTGTCTTGCATCTACAAGTCCAATTTTTCACTCCCCAACAAGATACATAAGCTCAAATTCCCTACGAATAAGCTCCATTTTTGGATGACCATAAATAAAATTTTCGACCAAATTCAAATGATAGGAAGAAGCATGTTGATTACATTCACCTTCGGTAAAAATGATGACAGACTTTCCATTCTTCCTACCAGGTTTCTTGATGTCCTCCGCTAACTCAAACAAAGGAGGGAAAAAGCACGGTTTAGACGTATCTGAGGTGTGGACTCCCGCAAGGGCAGTGACATACGATCTGTTCGAAGTCATCACCACAAGAAGTCACGTCGAAAGAACGATTTTGCAGTCGACGGAATTGCGAAATATGGAAGGGGAAAAAACAGAAAACGAACCCTGCTAAGTCAAGCAGAGGGCAAAGTAGAAAGTTGCAGAAGTCGAAGCTATGGAAGTCGCAGCAGATGGTCAGGGCAAAACCGTAGAAGACAGATGAGCCGAAGATGGTCGGGGCGAAGCCGCGAAACTGGCGCAGCTCGAAAAATTCTACGAGGACGACAAGCCGCGAACGGGAATAGAGGAGCGAACACCCCTTCTTCTTCGACGAAAAAAACTGTAGCAGAGGCTAGGGTTCGCCGTGAGCCAAAACCCTAGCAGAGCCTCCCATCTTTCCCGTTTGATTTTTTGTGTGTGTGTGTATATATATGTATATGTGTGTATATATATATATATATATATACATATATATATATATATATATATACATTTCAAACACCTTAACACCTCAAGGCGTATGCCTCGGATGTAAAAAAACTATAATCTTCATTGGCCAGTGAGGCTCATGTCTTGAGGCTTTTTTATGGGCCTCCATTTGAGGTGCACCTGAAGGCATGCTCTCGAACACTTTTTTAAATAATGGTATGATCTATTGAATACTCAATATTTTATAATAGACGTTCATAATTTTGGGTAGATTTGAATGTGATGAAAGAACAAAAAAGAAGAAAAATGAGTATAGATGAGTGATCTGAAAATTCTCATCCCAACTTTTAGGAGTGTTTGTTGTGCGGAATCAAAATTTTAGAAGGCAAATTAGGTTAGATAAAGCAATAGTCAAATATTTCACCATCAATTTTTGTGAATATTTTAAAATATAGTTCCAAGTTTTCTTATAGGTGTAAGCATATATACTTATTTGTCATTTGATAGCTAAAGAAAAAAACTTGATTTATTTAATCCATTAAGGCGTTAATTTTTGGAGTTTTTTAACAAAAATTTAATCTTAAAGAAATTTATCACCATTAGCTTAGAGTGGAAGGTGTAACAATGAAGACGAACTCAATCGAGATCCTATGATTCTATTATCATGGGTTGTGTACCCTGACTATTTATTGAAGGGGGCAGTCAACCCGAACCGATCGAATGATTCTGGTCAGTATTCATGAATTCCATTGCAAAGTGGATCTTATCGATGTAGGTCTTTGTCTAAATGAATAATTTTATTTTGATCTTAGAGGATTTTTTATTGCATCAGATGTGTTCTGTAATTCCTTATTCAAAATGCTGAACCATCAGGGGACATTTGGGTGTTGATTGTGATTGTAATATAAAGCTGTTATTTAGGGGCAAAACCCCTAACTAGAGAACCCTAATCATAATTGCTCATTTTTATGTACCATTTTAGGCCAAACCATAATTAGAAAATATAAGTTCTGTACTCATAGACATAAGGTCTTCTGAGAGTGACCATAGTGGTACTTTTGACACAATACTGACTTTTTGTGAGCTTATACTAATCTTAAAATAGCCACTCTCGACAAACTTTTATGGATGTGATAAATTTTTCTTTTTATCTTTAAGGTGTACATTTTTATGTATTTTTTAATATTTTATCATTATATTTTTAAATATTTGGCATGAGGTGATTTGCATTAGGATTTGGGATGTTTTGAAAAAGATACCATTTGGTTAACACTTTCTGTCATTGCAGCCATCATTGGGATAGTTTTCTTTGCATTGTTTGTATTTATAATTTGGGAGTTTTATTTTTGAGAGTGAATTTTTTCGGTTGAGATTTTTATTAACATGGCTATCATTAGGAGTATTTGAATAACTTCATTTCATTTTATTTTTTGTCAACTTTGCTTGCTGGTTTGTAGAGAATTGAGTCTGTATGGTTTGCAATAATTGAGTTTATCTAAACATCATGCACTTTAATGACCATGTTGATTCTACTATAATCATAGAGGATCAGATCTTTGATTTGTATTAATTCAGTTTGCTTAAATCTTTTTTATGTTAAAGACATCACTCGCATTCGTGGTTGATTAGGTTTGTAGATTAGGATTTGCTTTGTAAACTCACTATCAAGAGGAATTCTTGGAATAATTGCTTTATCATGAGTTGCTTGATTATTCATTGTCTAAATATTTCACGTAGGCTTTAAGTTTTGCAACTCTATTTTTGAGAAATAATGAATCGGACTTGAATGTGCGACTTGGGATCCTGCCTTATCAGCATGATGGCCTACTTAAAAAGCTCATGGATCTTGATGCATTTATTGTTGATTAAAAAAAAAAAAAACAGAGTTAATATCTTTAAGATGTTCACAGGGCCTTCCAAAAATTTATATGCTTCTAGGAGCAAAGTAATTTGAGTTAACTTTATATTAGTCTGTATAATATTCCCAGACTTTTGATTGACCAGTTTAGCATGCTTTCCAAATCATATGTGAACTTTCACTTTTATAGATTTGAATAGAGCTTGAGATATGTGCTTTCTGAGACAGAAAAAATGAGTTTAACTATTGTATTTTTTGAAAATTTTCCAACGTTCTTAGACATCATATTTGAGTATCTGGCTTATTCATTAAAGCGCGCGCGCACACACACAAATACAGAAAAAGACACATCTGCTGAGGTTTGCGTCGAGCAGTTTCGTCGCCTCTCACGGAAGACGGGAA